TTTGAGAAGTGTTAATATTATAATATCTGAGGGAAATGTGAAATTCTTAGACTTTGACTGGAGTGGAAAGGAAGGATAAGATTTACTGACATTATTTTACAAAGATCAAATAATTGTTACGTTATTTGACACTTTGTTACAATTGTATCAAAGTAGTGAAACGTGAATCCAGGCTCAATGAATGCACTTAAGCAGTTTCTTATTATTTTTTTTAAGTAAAAAGTTTATGATTAGATTTAAAAATGCAATGAAAGTTAGTTCATATGTTGCACATGTTACATGAGCCACTAAACCAAAGCCTTCCCAAAATGTTAGTTAATTTTTCAGCCACATCAACTCACATAGTAATAGTCAAATGTTCACTTTGTCTGGTTTTGTGCAGCATGCCCCATATTACAGTATAAAGTAAGTTGAAAATCTTATTATTAGTTATTATCAACAAAATTATGCTTATATTTCCAATAAACCTTTTTTTATGTTAAACCAGCCATAGATTGTAATCTAAAAAACTATCAAATAGTAATAGTTCATCAATCAATGTTTCAGCAGCTGATTTTTATCAAAAAGATTGCCACCCCAGAAGAATCATATCCACCTACATGCAAGCAAATTATTATCAGAGCCAAGGAGGGAGATTATAAAATATGTTTACAGCTGCCAATTGTTTAACTCAACAGAACATTTACATTGTTCAGTTGATGATTATTATCATGAGGGTATAGTCTTGTTATTGTTGTGTCTGAGTTTGGGATCTGTCTCAATTCAGAACTCAGTCACTCAGTTGTTTCAGTTCAGCACTGAGACAGGTCCCAACTGATACTGGGGTACAGCACTTCTCTTCTCTTCCCTATTGCTACTATTACTGCAATATTTACCAATTCATTGCCAAGCATTAAGTCAATCTACTTTATTGTTTCAGTCTTTTGTGAATGCATTTGCTTTCTCATGCATATGTACTAGTACTACTTTACAGAAACCTGTAGTTTTTAATAAGATCCCCACTATCTAACAGGCATCATGTAATGAGATCGCCATGACTAATTTTAGTGTATTGTGCATGGAAATTTTACAAAGTTGAACAATCCAGCAGAATCTCGTGACAAGATCGCCAGGATACTAATAGAAATTTAGCAATTTGTTGGTGCAAATCTCATCGAGACATTTTTAAAAATGCAAGTTTCTGTAAAGTAGTGCTAGCTGTCAAAACAGCACTTAACAGTTGAATCTTAATAGTAGTAACTTTTGTTACTGTTAACTATCAAAAAACAACTTTAGCAGTTGTCAAGAAGATTCTGTAAATTGAACCTCTTCATTTATTACTATTTCAGTTAATTCTGTAGATAGTATTTAATATTATTATGGCTAGTACTAGTCAAAAACAAGAGCTGAAGCTCAGATTTTCTCCAAACTTCTTGTATTGTTTCAGTTAGTCTTGTGGAAAGCTTTTCTTTCATGTAGTAATACTAGCTGGCTGTCAAGAATCATCTTTTTACAGTTTCTGTATTTGTTAATAAAAACTCTACTCATGTATCATGATAGACTTTAATTTATCATAACCTTAAATGCTTGCTAACATGATCTGCAAATTCACATAGTAATAGGATAAATTTAATTGAAGCTTGTCTCATTATAGTAAGTTGAAAATCTTATTATTAGCAGAGTCTGAAATTTAATTATTAACAAAATTATGCTTATATTTCCAATAAAACTTTTTTTTATGTTAAATCAGCCATACATTGTAATTAAACTCTCTAAAATTCGTGAAAAAAACTATCAAATAGTTCTTTTTCTCAACAGAATTAATATGAAAGAAAAAAAATGAGGACAAGATGGAATACTATGACGGGATAATTCATGTGATAACATTGCGTTCTACTAAGATAAAGAACGGAGCAATGTGATAAGAAAGACCATCAGTTGGAATTAAAGAAGTCTGCCAAAGAATAATTTACAATACATATAAAAATTAGCAGCTACATTTTTCACAAACCTATTCGGTAGTAGCAACTTTCCAACATGTCACTTGAGCTCCAGTATGAATGCATCACGTTTAGTGTCCGTGGTTCAGACATCCTCATATCATCAGTCACTAGATCCGCAAACTATCCCCCATACAAACTCATACTTTCTTGTGTTCTTTCTTTCGTCCAACCCTTACTTTCCTTTTAGCCGATCTCGTCGTTACGCTAGTTGGGATGGTTGTCAGGTTCTTGTTGATTTCTTCCTTCCTGTCTAAGAGCGCTAGCGGATTACTCTCATAAATTTCGTATATGATACACTTGCCATATACCGCTCCGTTGTCTTTCACTTTATCTGGCGAACGCATCGGATGCGGATTTTTCCTTCTTCTGGGAACGACAGCTTCATCGCTCACAATAGTTGCCACACTTGCAGGCGATGATGGTACTGATTCGGCATTTATGTCAGTTGGTGTATCGGTCGGCGTGATCTTTGGTGTTACTATGGTAGTAGTGATTGTCGGTGTGCTTTTCATGACCCGTGAAGATTTCGTGTGGACTTTCGATTTTAGTGCTTCGGGCGGGTGCGTATCGAATTTAGGTCTATTGTAACCTGAGAAAATGTATGTTTGGGAGGGGGTGATACACAAAGCGATTTTTGAGTTTTCCTTTCTTTTTTTAGAGGAGTGGTATAAAAACATAGCGGGTGGGTTGGGGGCATGAAGAAATAGGAAAGGAGTTTGAACAGAGCCAGTTTCATTGTGTTGTTATAAGATATCTAGCATGCATGTCTACAACTGTCAGTCTGAAAAATTATACTAAATATCTCAGCTTATATACATAAACTATTCACGCACACAACTATCTACAGTAATTTTTACTCTACCTACGACTATTTGGTATTTCCAACTATCGTTTGCTTGTTAAATACTGTAACTACTACATCCGAACGTAGAGACTTTACACCGTCTTGCCTTGTTCACTGCTATGACAGCATACAAGGAAGTCAGATTAGCCTCGGTCAGTTCATAGGACGCAGCCACAACATACGTCGTATGAGAACCTGCCACTCGTCGTATAACGAGCGCTCTTCAACCAACCTTTCAAAGACGTCCTTATCTCGGGTTCATGCATATTTTTTATGCTTTCTATGTCTTTCTATATTTTCCCGTTTTTCTATCTCGCTAATCACGTTTTCAACGCTATATAACGACGACGCAAAGGTAAAACGATATAGTATGATGTTCGGGGGTAGAGATAAAATGTATCTTTCGATGCGAAATACAGTAAAAACTGTAAAGGATAAAGGGCTAATGCAATAAAAATGTAACTGGACAAATTTTCTGGGGGTTTCACCAAGGAAAAAAGATAAGCAGGGCCTCTCAAATTGTATGCAACGACTCGTTGCACAGATTTTTTGCCGAAGGTCTTTTATGGGTTTGATTTGCTCAATATTAGAACGCAAGACGGCTAAATGTGTTGAATGAATAGTGGGAAAAAAGGCAAAATAAGAAGAAAACACAAATGCCAATAAGACGAAGAGATCTTGTGTATGAGAAATTTTAGATGGCTGATTGCGATTTGGATGATGCGAACATATAGTTAGGCGCATTATTTAGTACAAGCAGAACAGATACACGTCAGAACTGTTAACCGAAATGAATGCAAGTTATCTTTAGTTGACATAAGTTCGCTCATAAAACGCGTATTCATTTTGACGTTGTATACGGGTCATGAATGTAAAAATAGATTTATTTCTTCAAGGAGACAATGTGCAAACAGTCGTTCAACGAAAAGAATTGAGGTCAGTTGGCCAACTAATAGACTAAACGACGTCATATAAGATAATAACCTTGAAATAACAGATATGTAGGAGAGTGTATGCCGGGTGGAAACGACAGGTTACGTTTAATGTTTTAATATTTCTCAATCAACGAGACATGTTATGTAGAAGATGCAACATTTATATTTTTTTGTGCCATTTAACTTGAGATTTCTGCATGGTTCATCGCTCGGGTTTTTGTGTATACAGTTATAAACCACCCCCAAATGCACCACAATAAGATGTAAAGTGCCGCAGAAAGATATCTGTAAATGCAATACCGTATCGATGAGAGTGGGACTTTTCATGTGATTGATCAGATAATCTACCTACATGATAAAGGAGATTCTGTAGTGTAACATTTCCAAATTAATGACTGAGGCAAAACGGCGGAGTATATGCAGCAATGCAAGTCAATTTTAAGGGGCTACTTTACGTGGGTGGCTTCAAAAAGGTTTTGCTCTACTTCGATAATAATTTTAAAAGAGATTTCTCCATTTATGTGATTTCTTCCGACATTCCTCTTATCAACAATTGCCTGACGAGCCCTAGACAGATTTTAATCCTGTTATACCTCTTTCTTGTAGACTTAGGATAGACGTGGCCTCTTCCAAAAATAACTTATAGTAGATGTGTGATGAGGCGCAGCATTGGTCTTTTTCTTTTAATTCTTTAGCATAAAGCAAAGTTTTTTTTATGAAAGTCTTTTATTAAGCATATTGTGGATATTTTCCAAAATTGCTTCGCAAGGCATTCTGAATCGAGGCTCATCTCCCAAGCAGTCTCTTCCATCAATGACCATCGACTAGACGAGTAAAAAAGCGATTTTAGTATTTTTGAAATTGTTACGGAGTAACTGTGTGCATAATGCTAGTGCTCGTGTCCGCAAGTTTTCGTTGGTTTTACATGAACTGTATTAAAATCTGTCGCGTCTTGACATTCGGCAAATATGTAAAATCGGTATTATTTACGTAAAATCCATTAGTCTTGATAAACGAACTTTGAATAAAGACATCTCAACAACAATCTATTTAAACAAACCAAATTTGGAGGGTATTTTTTTTTTTGAAAAACAGAATGAGATTTTATTTGGTTAGTATTACGTTGTCATAGGTTATTAACACGTGAACGTGAAGCATGCGGTAAGAACTCTTTGAACCACCTACATAAGCTTGTGGCAGAAACAGAATTGGCTTTCTGACTGACAAGTTTGGAAGAAGAATAAGGAACATCCTAATGTTGGCTGTTTTCAAGTTTGTTCGAAATAATTTTGTTTACTCGCCAGGAAGTGATGTGGATCTTGCTAAGCTTGTAATAAACTAAGTGTAGTAATTTCCTTCCCCACACGGTTTTAACAAATTTTATATTAGTATTAGAACCAATTTAATATTCTTACAATTGTATGAATTGTATGATTTGTGGCTGGTATGAAATGAATGTATATTTATTATTATGGTGTCTTCTATAAATGCAAAAAATATTATTTCAACTATTTCAAGTATGTGTAGTAAGACTATATTATACTGAAGTTTAACTTACTAAAACAATTACAATCTCAGGTTCATGTGTATCAATAGATTATATGAATGGAGCATTTATAGACAATCTGCCCACAATGACAATGCATAGAATTTTATTGCCAATTCTTCCCCTTTGGATTAAAAACTTGGCTATATGTTTTATCAGCTACATTATAAGATATTACTACTAGTCTTTGATTTAATTGAATTGGAAAGTATTGCCAAGACTAATAATAGCATATATTATTAAGTGCTGTAAGTATTACAAATTTCACCATTTAGTTTGTACTGCTTAATAAAGATTGAAGAATAGTTAGTTTTAATTTTAAGTGTTTTATTATGCATTTTAGTCTGGATTATAAATGATGTGACATATTAATATCCCAGCACTTATTAATTAATATCCAATCTCCGTGACGCATATCACTAGCATTGCTATGTTTAATCAATGTGCGCAATGCAAAAAAAAAGAAGAGAAACTACAAAATTATTGACACAAATCACATCAACATACTAATGCACTATGACACCAATTTGTTTCACAGGTACAGTAAAAAAAGCAGAAGTTTGTTCAATGACTCGTACTTAGTATATAAATATAAGTCAGATTAAACACATTTTGTGTGGTACTTTTTATTGTCAGTCGCGGAAAATTGCATAAACATAAGCATATCATTTTAATTAAAAGAAAATCTTTGAATAAAACTCGTACAAACTATAAATAAATCGTCATTACAAGTTTATTAATCACTGAATTGTAGAAAAATATGGACGATGTTAACATTATATTTGGCTTGTTTATATCAACATGTAACCAGCTTTGTCAGCATACCTGCAGCTGAACCCATATCGATAATTTACCAGGGATTGAATTATTAACAACGCATTTCAGAGTATAAAAGACTACTCATTTATTAGAAATATTTACAATAAAGAAATCAAAAGTTATTGTAACATTATCAATGGACGGATTTCAGTTAGATTCAGTGTCCATTAGTCCATATACTGTATCTTTCGAAAGAACTAATTGATCTACAGTGTGTAACAAAAAAAAACTGGATATTTTTATTTTGCCATTGCTCCTCAATGAGTTAACCAAATTTTATAAATAATGGGTCATTTGAAAGATGAAAACAACCAAATTTATTTGATAAAAATTAATAAGAAATCCGTTCTCCATTCTTCTCGATAATGAGCTCACAACGCCGTTTCATTGATCCCACCAAATTAATTAACATGCTTTCCGGAATTCTATTCCACTCCTCCACCATAAAACTCTCCAGTTTGCCAAGATTTTTTGGCATTCGTCTTTCTACATTATTTTTAACAATTCCCCAAAGGTTTTCTATCGGGTTTAAATCAGGACTATTTGATGGCCAGTCCATTACCACCGGAATGTTTTCTTTCAAAAATTCCGTAGCAAGACGACTCGTGTGTTTTAGATCGTTGTCTTGCTGGAGTCTCCACCTACCTCCAAGTATCCTATTTATTTCTGGAATATGTTTCTGGAGGATTTCTACATAAAACTTGGCATCCATTATCCTCCGGAAACAAATTTACCGACTGCACAAAATCTGCTCCATGCAAAGATTTTTGTGCGATCTTTGGGCATGGGACGAATCGGCCGTTCGCCTTTGTACCAACGTTCGATGGTGTTCCGGTAAAGTTGGAACGCGGTTTCATCGGAAAATAATGTCTTCCTCCAATTGTCATTGAGGTGTTGACGTGCCCACTCAACACGTCTTTGCTTATGGGCTTCGGTTAGCATAGGTGTTCGTTTAGGCAATGCTTTCGAGTACCCATAAGTGGTCAGGGTGCCTCGAAATTGTCATGTGCGACACATCAACACCTGTATTTGACACTTTACGAGCTAAAGTCCGTGTGGATATTGAGTCATTTCTCCGTATTGACTGTCCGATTATCTTGGAGGTTCTTCCGGTTATTTTCCTGGGACGACCATTGCCTCGCGCGCGACCCACTGTTCCTTTTTCTTTAATTTTTTTATGTTATCATAAATGGTGGAAAAGGTATGTTTGTTCGGCGATGAATTTCTTGGCCATTGCAAATACCCTCATTCCATAAATGTAATATACATTGACGTTGTGTTTCTTGCTTAGAAGCGGGCATTGTGTTTGTATACTAAACAAAGTTGCGTTAAGGATCAGGTTGTAAACAACGCTCAAATATACTCCTGACTATTATGTTTATTTTCCATTTTACATGTCCCAAATCGGACAGAAAACAAGCGCGTGGGACACGTTTATGTCGCATAAAAAAATATCCGTTTTTTTTTTTGTTACACACTGTATTTTTAGCAACGTTATTAATTATCCTATTTTCGGTTTACTATTGTTCTGCTCGCATGACAGCACTTTCGATGTTGCCTGCTGTTGTCTGATCTCCAGATGTCTTCTGATGTTGCTGTACCACTGTCGCGACATCCGCAGTTTATATCACATCACTTGCTACGAGCCGATCGGCAGATCCCAACAACAAACAACTTATTTATTGAAATCTACTGCAGAAGACAACTGACAGTTATAAACATGACTTCTATCATCTTGAGGATGAACCAGAGAAAAAGGTTCTGGATGAAATTTATTTCAAAGAATATGAAAATGCAAGCTAAACAAGGAATGCCATGCACAAAATAATCTTGGTGTGGTGTATGTTATCACAATGGAACTGGAGTAGAAAAAGATGAACAAAAGGCAGTTAAACAAGGGCTTGCTGATGTATAAAACAATTTTGGCTATTTATATAGAACAGGCATTGAAATAAAAATAGATTATCAAAAAGCAGCTATTACTATGCAAGGAGATCCTAATGCACAGTACAACCTTGGTTAGTGTTATAAAAGGAATTGGTGTAGATAAAAATGTTCAAAAAGCAGTGGAACTGTATCAAGAAGCAGTCAATCAAGGAAATTTTTCCACATACACTAGCCTTGGTTTATGTTACAAAATGGAATTGGGGTAGAAATGGATATTCAAAAGGCAGCTGAACAAAAACGTGTATATGGACAATATAATCTTGGTTTGTGTTATGAGGAGGGAATTGGGGTAAAACAAGATGAACAGAAAGCTATTGAATTATATCAAAAAGCTGCTGAGCAGGGATGCATTAAGGCACAAAATAAGGTGAATACAATAATAAATCCAAGTTAAAAAGAAAGATCCAAGAGTTAGCTAAATTTATCAGGCAAAAAAAAACCAAGTTGAAATAAAAAATTTTATTATTGGGTTATAGGATAATAATAAAGCTGTGTTGGGCAATTTATTTGTTGCTGGTAGTAAATTGATAATTGTTGGTATCCTTGTTTTCTTTTTTAGCAACTTATCACTTCTTAATAGTTTATTAAATAAACTTCGAGCCTAGTTACCTGTGTTAAACATTTGTGAAGAGTGTTTATAATGAATAGCTACTAACAATAACATATTAATATTAATATGACCTGTAGTAGTATAGTAGGGGTTTTTTACGTAATATGCTTGAAAAGTAATGACAATTAATTTACGTATATCTTAATGATCTGCAAACCTATCCAAATAAAGTTTTTATTTTCTGAATGTACTACATTTGACAAACATCGCACAAAAAACTTGATGCAAATTGCTTTGGTAATTCTTGAAAAATTCCCGCTCAAAGTTACCTACCAAAAACAAATAAATGGAACATTCTACTCGTGAAAACCAACATTCCTATATCTTTGTTGAATGGAAAAAGGTGACCAAGCACTATCTTTGAGAACAATTCATCGCTGGATTGAAGTATTTGAACTTGGAAAACAAAGTGTTAAAGATGAGGATCACGGCGATTAATTGTCTGACCTTTTTTAAATGTGGCACTTATGGAGGTTATACAATTATCTGGGACTCAAAATTGCTTGCACGTGTAGAACATGGAGGGTGTGCACTTATGGAGGGTGCATTTATAGAGGTGTCTCTGATTATGTATAATTTTGTGTAATTAAATTTTTTCGATGTGCCGGGTAGTATATAAGGAGTTTACTCGTTCATTGAAAGCGTCCCTGTATGTATGCCAATTGTTCTCTAATATAAAAAAAAAATCGATCTTAATTCCAGGGAATAACACAGGCGACCCATACCAACCTTTCTTAAGTAAATAACCCGATTTCCAAGATTTATAACTGCAAGTGTTTGCGACCATATCATAACTTAACGTAATGCTGTAGCCTAGCCACATCTGATACTTCTTTTTTGCGTTGTAGGTTAACGATTTTTTCCAAATTTTTAATTTTAAGTTGTTTATATTCCCAACTAAAGCGCTGAATATCTCAACTTTTATAGATTTAAACCAGTTCATAAACATTATATAATGACAGTATGTGTTATCAGACTTTTTTTTTTGACCAGAAGGTTTTGCATTCCATTTACTTCAGCAACACCAATTTTAATTTACACACGCGGTTTTATCACGTAAACTATGTCAGTTATCACAACGGCAGTATTACCATACTCGTGTAGTGAGAATTGCAATTGATTTAAACCTTAAAGAATTATTTGTTAACAGAAGCTTGCCCGTAGATTATGTCAAGTTTTATTTTTTTTTAAACAATTACCGTTCGCTTGTCACTATGTCTACATTTTCTATCAATGTTAACATTAAAAAAGTATAATCTTGCGTTATTACATAAACTTATACTGTAACGTTTGTAGCGTTTACTCAAAAACGGTTTATAAGACAAGCGATCATGTAATAAGATCCCATATTAGCTCACGATTGTCAAGACAAATAAGTAATTAAGGTAGTAAGTATATTACGGCAGCTTAGTAGATAATCGATAGTAATAGCGAAATTATTAATTTGTTGTGTTTAAGAGAAATTAAAAATAAATCATCAGACCAAAATAATGTTCGTCAATTTATGTGTACAAATGTTCAATATTATTAAAGAGAAGATTACTTTATCTTCAAGAGATTCTTCGAACTGGAATAGAAGTCAAAGTTTGAACCAAGCGTGCAGAATATACTTTGATACAAATCGGCTCAAGAATTAACTAAATAAATTGCACTAATTATAGTTAGTCTCTTAACAGAAACAAAATTTTAAAAGGGCAATTTCACGTTTGTTTAGAAGACAACTTTTTCAATCCGACGAATTTACTATGAAGCAAGTAATGTCAGCCATAGTGGAAATTTGCAAGACAAAGTTGAAGTAAAGAATAAAACGGCTATAAATTACCAGCTTGTGAATGGTGCGAACGATTGTCAGCGAAATGGGGATCAATTACAAACTAGCCTACGCCGCGCCGTGCCTTAAACGTATTTTGTACATCAGACATACTGCAGTAAAATTATATACACAGTATGCGAAAGCTTATTAAATGTTTGCGGTGGCAAAAGGCAGCTAAGCTTTGCAAAGACTTTTCGCTTCAAGTTTACTCCGTTTTGCAACAAGTAATAAATAATATTACACAACGGAGCCTCTGCCTAACCTACACGCTGAGACAATAAGTGTGTCGTCTCAAATTGCGTGCTAATTGCCTGATCGTTAGGGGTAATTGCCGATGGCCGTGCCAATTGTGTGGTGCGAAAAAAAAGATGTACCACTTTCATCAAGTGCCTCCTTACATAACATATTCTTAGCTAAGCCATTTGTAGTATGTCATGAATGCAATAATGATAGTGACGTATTTATAATTATTCCTAGATTGCGAGATAAGCGTGTGTTAAATTTACAATATTAATATATAAAACTAGTTTCAACAACGCACTGAATACGATAAATAGTTTCACAACTAAACAGTGACTGGTGTATTGATCTTTTTTTTTATTTGTACACTGGGAAAAAGTTAGCAAGCACTTGTATATTAGCAAATCGTTTATCTCAAAACTTCTTATCGAAATGAGATTTATCTCTTAATCTAGGTTTAAAATTAAGGTTTAGACGGTCCAAACATTATCCCCTTATTATAATCAAATGCTATTTCTTTAGGCCTTTGACGGATCGTTGATAATTTTAATCTCATAACCAATTAATAGATTGGGCTAACGAAGACGAATAAGCTGCAGCGACGTTTTACTTAGCATTGAATGACAAACTATTTGAGGTTAGTTTAATGACACAAACATGGAAAGATCGTTTTTCCATACTTCGTATTACCATGAGTAACGTCCACAGCATAACAAATAGGCAGTGTTGCTTGCATTTCAGTTCAGCCGGACATCAGCTGGCATATTCATTTAAATGTGTTATGTCGGCTGAATCTTCTTTCTATCTATTGTTTGTGCTTACCGTTATTAGATACTTTTGATTACAATTTGCATGGAGAGATGTAGTGTTACTTCTCACCACTCCGATTTCACTGTTGAGATTTCCAGAGCAATAGTAATTATTTTAACGGTACCTGGAGACTTTTTCGAATAATTTTGTCAATAGTAGTATAATAAAATAAGCGCGTTAGAGTGGGCTAACAGACGTTTCAATTCAATTGGCAATAATAAGTTGACATTATCAATAGTTTATGTAGCGCTTCATTTTATTAAGTTTCCTAAATGATTGCAAATCAACATACGGCCGTGAGCAATAGATGACCTATTTTATTCTAAGCAAATCATAATAGTTGTCAACAGGGTCTGAACGCAATAGAGAGCTGTATAAGCACTATATTATTATTATCTTCTTGGCTGTTAGAGAAGATTTTTATAACCTTTGCTTCTGAAACTATAAAATTTATTTCTAACGAGGTCAATGACATGAAACATTCTTAAAAGACAGTATGTTGAAAACACGAAGGATAAAAAATTATATACAGGAACGCGAGATGAATAAAAATGATTACTTTGCAAACAATGTGCGTATTGTCCCTCCTTGTACAACGATTTTCTTATCTTAGGACATGATGCCACAATTAGAAGTATTTATGTAATGATTACGTTACAATAACCTAGTCGCTATCCGTATGCCCCTTAAACTCCCACACTATTTAGACAGCAATCTTAGTCTGTGAATCGAACGATAAAGCGGCGGACACTCATGTAATTATTTATTTATCTACACAAGAGATGATAACAAAAAGCAGTCTACAGAAGACGACATTCTTAGAAGAACATGCAGGACAGTATGGTTACGATGGAAAAATAGACCGAATACGAGATGAAGAATATCCGCAGTTAAAAAGTATGTGAATGATATCGCCATGTTTAAAATCTGATAGAGTTCTAACACTTCTTGATACGAAAGATACAATCTATCTGGATCATGCGGGCACAACGATTTATGCTCAGAGCACCTTTAAAGCTTTTGCCATTGATCTTGCTTCGAACCTCTACGGCAATCCACATAGCAAATCGCCGAGCTCTAATCTTACGGCACAAAAGCTAGATTCGGTTCGCACTCTAGTTCTTAATCACTTTGACACTACTCCTGGAGATTATCAAGTAATATTCACGCAAAATGCAACCGCCGCAATCAAACTAGTTGGAGAATGTTTTCCATGGACAAAGAATAAAAGTTGGCTAAAATATTTGAGGGAAAGTCATACAAGTGTCATCGGATTGAGAGCATTTGCTAAAGAGAATGAAGTCGATTTTAGTACCGTTAATGAAGATGAAATCGAGAGTATGATTAGAAAGAAGAATAATGATCTGGCTAGCAATTTATGTGAAGATAGTCAAACTGTCTATAACCTTTTTGTTTATCCTGCTCAGTGCAACTTTTCAGGGATGAGATTCCCGTTAAGTTGGACACAAGGAATTAAGGAAAAGTTCAATAATGATTCATCTAGAGTATTAGTCTTGTTAGATGCAGCATCATATGTTATGACTTCACAACTGTCTTTAAAGGATACTGAAACATCACCAGATTTTGTAAGTATAAGCTTTTATAAGATGTTTGGATATCCAACTGGAATCGGTGCTTTGTTGGTAAAAAGCGAGTTGGCACCAATTTTGAGGAAAAGATATTTTGGTGGTGGAACAGGTGAATATAGTACATGTCCTTATTTTTGATCTGACTATAGTACTAACCCTTGGTGTCTAATATATGATTCAGTTTCAGCAGTTCTTTATGACATTGATTACCAGCAATTTAGGCCATCTTTATCAGAAAGTTTTGAAGATGGAACTACAAATTTTTTGAGTATCATTGCACTTTCTCATGCATTTTCTACATTTATAGCCCTTTTTACTTCATTTAATCAAGCTACCTTGCACACCTCATCACTTATTTCATATCTTTATACTCAAATGTCTTCATTAAAGCATTACAATGGGTCACCTGTTTGTAAGATCTTTAGTACTAGGGATTTTAACAATCCAGTAGAGCAGGGACCTGTGTTGAATTTTAACCTTAAAAAAGCTGATGGGTCATGGATAGGGTTTTCAGAGGTAGCAAGGTTGGCAGGTATTCAAAATATAGACTTGAGAGTAGGAGGTCTGTGTAATCCTGGTAATGTCACCAAATGGTTTAATGTCAGTCAAAAAGAGTTGATGATGGCTTTCCAGGTAAGTTTGAATATATAGATAACATGAAATTGTTATTGATATTTTAATTGTATCTTTATTATAGTCGGGAAAAGTGTGTGGAGATGACCAAGATGTAATCAATGGGAAACCAGTGGGATCAGTCCGGGTTTCTCTAGGAGCCATGTCAACCATTGATGATGTATTGGCCTTGATTGATTTTGTTAAAGAATATTTTGTTGAAACAAGTCCTCCTGTGGAGAGATTTAGGACTAAACACTTGTCTAAAAACATGCATCTGAGTTCGGTTACAATTTGCAAGTATACTAATGCCAATCTACCTTAGTGAATTTACATAATTGAGTTTGCAATTAACGAGAATATTTACTTGTATGTGTATTAATGGATACAGATCCAATAAAATCATGTAAAGGGTTTTCAACTGATCAACCATGGCCAATTTCTCAGCAAGGCTTGTTATACGATAGAGAGTGGATGTTGATTGATGCTCAATCAGGAAGAGCATTGAGACAAACACAGTAAGTTAATTTTTATGGTTACAAGAATGTTAATTACAACTACTTATTGTTCAATTATAGGTATCCCCGAATGGCTTTAATCAGTCCAGCAATCGACTTGATTAATAACGTCTTGGTTATCAGTGCACCTGGATTACCTTCTCTTACAATGCGACTAAATGAACTTTCTAATTTTGAAGTGGAATTGCGTGAATCAAGAATTTGTGGTGACAAGTAAGTTATGCTCATAATCTATTGATAAGCAATGTTGATATAAAATGGAATTGCTTATGCGTTTATGCGTTCGTATGTAATCCCCAGAATTAATTCGCTAGAATACACTTCGCTCGAAATAACATCGTTTTTCTCTAAATTCTTAAACGTCTCTTGCTATCTTGCATGCCAATCATCGTTCTCACGACGTTATATCAAAGAGAAACTTAGCTCATCAGCAAATGCTCCGTTGTCGTTATCAAATGAAAGCCCATTTCTGCTGGTTTCGCAAAATAGCTTTGATTGTTTAAAGAGTCAGATCGGATCTGAAAAGGAACAAGTGATAGATTTGAGATCATTTAGAGGAAACTTTGTTATAGAGGGGGCCGAAAGGGCGTATGAAGAAGATGATTGGAAACTTTTAAGAATTGGTGAGCAATTTTTTGAGGTATGTTTTATTAAATTTTGCAAGTGATTGTTATGCTCATTTTGAAATATGAAGTGCTTTTGACAAGAATTTGAAGTTTTTATGGAGCGCGTTTTTCAATACATATTTGATGCTAACATATTTTACATGCTGTATAATATCACTAGCTTCTTGGTCCTTGCACTCGTTGTCAAATGATATGTATCAATCAAGATACTGGTGAGCGTACCCGCGATCTTTATTCAAGTTTGGTAAAGTGCCGATCTACAAATGTAAGTATTAGGTAGAGGCTTTTAGACATATTGTTTTTATGTTAAATTTCTCTATGTTGCTGACTGAACTATATACAGGGTAAAATCAAATTTGGTCAACATATGGTTCATGTCCCAAAGCTTTCAAAGGCCCCATATGTTATTTCTTCTGGTATGGAAGCGGAAATTCTAGAACTGAGGAAGATCGAGTAAATAACAAGACATGTTTTTATGCTCATTGTTATTTCTTCTGGTATGGAAGCGGAAATTCTAGAACTGAGTAAATGACAAGAGACGCTTTTATGCTCATTGTTATTTCTTCTTATTCTGGTATGGAAGCGGAAATTCTATATATAGAACTGAGGAAGATCGAATATAGAAATTGTTAACGTAGTTGTATGATAAACAAACTAGATACGAACTATAATATAATACTATTATCAATACCGTTATGTCTTGTTAATAAAATTATCTTGGGATATTAAAGTTGAATTACATTTTAGTGTGGTATGTTCGTAGAAACACTGTAACATTCTGTTATTATATAAATAAACATCCTCATTAATGTCGATAATAATAATTATTTCCTTATTTATAGAACAAAACATAGCCAAATGTACGTATTATATTATAGATATCGGGGCGTTTATTATTTTATATTTTATTGGTAAAAAAAGAATATTATTGACCGGGGATACTTTCAACTCAACTTAACCTTGCAAACGTGCTCCGCACGTCAGAGGCGGCTACATATACAGTAAATATCCCTACACATGTCACCCACTATTAAGCTATACAAATAAGATTCTATTTGTCAGCTAACTCCTTGCTCCAATTAAGTTTACGCTTTCTAACCATTGCTCTTAGGTAACTCCAAGTCTAATGTTCGAAAGTGCTACGCCGGTTCTCTAAGAGTCATAGATCTCAATGCAATTGGCAATTATGAAAAGAAGAGTATTTTAATAAGAAGTTAATTGATAGATTACCTCGACCTAGCTTATTAATTAATAGCATGCCTAGTGCTGCGTGATCTGATTATGGAAAAAAGGAAACAAGATCAAATGCTAAAAATTTTGTGCAAAGTTAACATGGGTATAAATTCAAGCTAATTAATTGAACTGTCAACTAAGTGGAGTGGCAATTCTCATTACTTTTTGCACTGTACTGTAATAAAACAAATGCCTTATTGTTTAGTTATAAGTTGCGAGTTTTGAGTCTCTTCCGTTTAGAATTATTTAATTTTAGCTTGATCCCGTCGAATTCTTTAACAGAAAACGATTCTTCAGCGCTAGCAATATGAACAAGGCGAGAACTATACCAGAAAAACGAAAAATTTACAATAATAACCTTAACTCGTATACTTCGTCATGGCTCGATTTTATTTTACGCTTCCTATTTAGACAAGCATTGATGCCAAACATAGTGTGGTCATATCTTTTGTATCTCCACCATTTAATATCGATATATTAGATATATTCCACCTGACGGATTTCCCTCTGTTGTATTTCAGTATAAATTTACTCATTTGTGTCTTCAGATATATTCCTATCTTGCTGTCCCAAATTCCATGCATATCATATAATGATCTATTTTAAGTTATACGATACTAATATTACACGAGTCATATCCCTAATTTACTATATTAATATATGATACTAGTATTACACAAACTGTCATGTCATTTCTATTTTTACATTCTGTACAAAGCCTATTAATCATTGCCACATTTCTTGAGAGGTTAATAATAATTAGCAAGAAATATCAAACCGCGATCGGGTCATAAACACGCCACTTTTAACAACCAGACAACGTTTAAGCCAAGATCATAGTTCTCAACTATATAAAAGCATGAATTGTTTAACCTTCCCGGTATTAAAAAATCGAATTTATCATTAAAATCAATTTTAGTATGGATGCTGTAGCTCCGCAAACATGTTGACGAGGAGGAATTATTTCTGTACGAACGAAAAGACAGGCACTTGATATAGTTAAAGTTCTTAGAACAAAGAGATTTTACAACAGAAAATGATGTTAAATATATACGCAATATAATTCGATGCTTAGATTAGTCCGTAGAAAAGGCTAAATATAAATGCCATCCAAATTTATTAACCAATCAAATTTCATGTTATGCTACCTCATTTCAGATATATCCCCGTCCAAAGGGAGGATATAAACGAGGTATGACTGTATTTTTGGTATAGGAATTGATGCGTCATCATCTCAAATGTAAGATAATGTTATGGGAGAGGAAACCAGTTCCTTGGTATAAAGGAGACATAAGCGTAATTGCTTAGTCATTTTTTGGTTGCTGTAAATGCAGTGTGATAGTTATAGTTGACTAAATTCAAGGTCACTTTATCCTGACCAATATTTCAGTATTATATCAATATGAGCATTTTTATCATACTATACTGCCTAGCAGACTTCAAGCTAATGAAAAGCCAAAAATTAACAAATTTGAGGTCAACAATTACTATGCAAAAACTAGATTCATCGCTATGTCAACTATAATTCAGCACACAAGCAATTTAATGTAAACAATTGCGAATACTTCTCCTTGTATCTATAATAAAATTATGTCATCAAAAATAAACATAATTTTTTGTTAGTATAGTTTTTATATTTTACACAAAAAAAGTTAATCAGTAAGTGCAATATACTGTATATGAAAATCTGAATAAAGAGCAAAAAGAAAAGCTAATGCAACATTCCGGTCCATAAAATCGCCGATTTATAATCGACAATAAAAACTAGAAATAGAAATGAGCATAACTATTACTAATTTTTAACGCGGAGTTATGTGCAATTACTTATTGTGAATTAGTATAAGGTCAAATAGTAAAGTGTTTGAATTACCATAAGTATAACTCCCTAATGCAAATTCTCAAGCATGGGGCTTAGTAAATAAATGCGCGAGATCCGTTCTAATACTCTTATTTTCCTAATCGTAATCCACGTGATTTACATATTATATGTTATTTGTTGCAAAAATATTGTCATATACATAACAAGTTTAAATATCACAATTTATACATAACATTATTATTTATTATTATAGATCTAGTTCTGCAAAGAAAGAACATGACATTTGAGTAGAATCTTAATCATATCATTTTAATTAATATTAATATTGCCAAAGGGCGGGCAAAACTTTAAATTATGTCAATCCTGGGATTAAGAGCTGTTACCTGTGTTTAAAGAACGAGTAATTTTAATGAAAACAAAGTAACAAGCACAAATCTTAGTTAATATTTAGAACATTGATAGTAAAACCTTTATGTAATTTAGACAAATTATAAGTAAAAGAAAATAATAATAATTGCATTTTTAGTTGTAAATTATTAGAGCGTTTTCCTATCAAGGTAAACCCTCCATAAATGCAAATAGCACTTAATACAAGGTTGCATTTACGGAGGTTTACAGTACTTGATGAGCAATAAATCTGTCAACCTTAAAAATCCAGCTACACACAGATCAATCATTCAAATCTCTTTTTGATATAAATTCGAGAATCATGTATTCTTTGACATTAATTACAAAAGATTTGATAAGTTAGCTGGCATACTATTTGTATTTTGTTATTTGATAGCTTACTATACAAGTTAATCTATATTATATCTATTATATTCAGACTTTATAAATATCACATACATCACATATAGTGTTCCATCTATTTACTTGAATGATTGTGCCCAAATGTGTGCTTCACTGCAAACAGTCTCGTCACCGTTTATCCAAACTCGTTTCATACACGGAAACTTTGCATTTAATAAAGGACGAATTATTGTAGCATTAATGCCAGACACATTTTCAAACCGCAAGCATTGCAAACGTTTGAGTCCAGCAATCGTATACAGAGGCATACACTTGCTTAAACTTGCATTCTTAATAGTCAGATATCTCAGCGAGTTCCCTTGCCTGTCAAGCGCACGAAGTATTCTTTGAGGATCGATGCTGATATTACTCGATGTAAACTTGAACGTCTCTAATGACCGTTGAGCTATCAGAAACTTTGCAATATCCTCTATATGTTCCTGTGATGAGATAGTGACTTTGAGAGAACGCTGTATGTAGTTGAAATAGAATAAATCGTGTGTGTTTAAGATTATCGGCAAACGTAAATCAGATAGTCGCCCACCGTCCCACTAACTAGTCCAATAGTTCATAACTCATACACAAGATACTGTGTCAACTAACATTATAAACTAGAGCGCTTACCAGATTTCTCCAATACTTGTATTCGATAAAGTGATGCCAGCCCACTTCGCTATTGCATTCAACAACCAGATCCTGTATATGTGCAGTGACAGCATAAAACTCATAAGCTGACATTGTAATATCATCCTGAGTTCCACCTATCTTGAGACCAGACAATGAAACACCCAATCCGATCAACATCTTGCATAGCAATCGCATCACTGTAACTGCCCTGTAAGCATCATCCATTTCGCTGCCTCCTAAATAGAACGGTCTGCTCTCACTACCTTTAGGTGTGTTCCTAACCCACTCTAACCACTTGCGTATACTAGTCACCATCGCCCCAACGTCCAAATGCTTCAAATACAATGGGTAACGGATTCCGCTAAATTTACTTGCTGGCAACTTTATTCTACAAGTGACGAGCAACTCGTTCTCTTGTTCGTTCGTAAAGCTCAAAAGGTATGTTTTAACAGTACAGCATTTTTGATGTATGTAATCGAATTCGAACGGTCTCTGCCAAACCATAGCGGAGGCAATACGAAACCATTCTCGATTGACTAATGCGCAGCTGGCTAAATGGTTTAGAGGAAGTAAATCGAATATCAGTTGAAGTATTTCCACAGGAAGGGATACATATATATGAGTAGACAACTCCATGTGTAAGTAAATGTTTAGTGAGCGAAAATGGTTTTTAAAAAAGAGAGTTATGTGTGTGATGGACTTTTCAGCTTATTGCACATTTTGTGTGACTCTTAAACGAACAACGTCATGACGTTTGTTAATAGCACAATGCATAAGACCCTAACTACCAATAGGAATGTATCTACGTTTAATCTGATAGGGTAAACACACCAAACAAAACAAAATACTCGATTTAACGGTCAGTTACCAAATGTTCTACTATCAATATCATGAGTTAAACGCCGTTCACCTTATTGTTTGGTGTCAGTCGAATATTGTGGAAGATTGTCAACTTGGATGATTCACTAAAGTCAGAGAGGATTGAACAATTAGTCCCAAGAAAGAACCTTATTTGTGATATTCCAATGTTATGTATTATGAAAGTTCGAATTGCTAGCCATCAGACGTTCGGCAAAGTATACAATCGATGGATGGGCAACATAACTATCCAGTAATATTACTATCGATTGCATCGAGTCATCGCAATTTTTTATTTGGTGATACCGATTACACTTATCAAGATGATCAAATCAAGATTATAGTGATAAGCATCTTTATCGGATCATCATATGAATACTAATACAGTACAGTATCTGTATAGGTAACTTGGGACAAAGAATGCAAAAATTATTCTACCCGAGATGGCTCAAGAATTATTTGCATCGATTGTAAGTGTAAGACTTATGTATTTCAAAAACAGCTAGTTTTTTATATACAGTATTTTATTTGAACTCATCCGATTATATCATAAACACTGTTCACAGACATCCTCTCCAATCTGTATTGTTAGTGATGCGGCCTGAACAAAAGAGACAAACAGGCCAAACTAATTTCGATTCTCAGATAGCATCTATGCACTTACAGAACCTATTCTCCACTTTACATAATAAGAAACATGAGAAACCTTCTGAAATTTTGAGAGACACATTTGGTTTCTTGCTGAAAAGACAGGAAAGTTCCATTCCTGAGACTGGTAATTTCAATCAACTTAACAGCATGTGAATTAAATGGCATCTTATTATAAAAGTAGTGTGATTACTGTAGGTCTTGGTGTATATTTACATGGGAGGGCAAAGAAAGGATATATAGTCTCTATGTATCCTGGTAATGTATTGTTCATTTAATACAGTTACAGTAACATTGTATTATACTTGAATCTTATTACGCCTTGGCCTTTTAGGTACAATTTATTTCTCAGGTGATCCAATGTTTCTGGTATCTCTTAATAATAGCTATATACTAAAGTGTACTAATGGTTTCTTTTTTGATGGCAAACCATATGGTAGTATGATACCCACTCATTAACTTTGTAACATGGGTGTAATTTCTGATAAATCTAATATGTTTTGCTATGTGTAGGATTATCTAAATATATATTCAAATCATTATACAAGAGAATAAATTATCCTGGTGTGTTTCCTACATGTGATATATCATGGCTTGAGAAGAATGATGAAGACTTAAAGTTTAGTAATGAACAAAAATGTTAATTGAATGTTGAGCAAGAATGAATACTTACATGTATTAAATGTAGGAATCCACTTACAATTGGTCAATTTGTGAATAATGGCACTTCTATATACAAGGCAAATGGTAAGATATAAAAGCTAGTGCTTATCACAACAATGATAATGTTTGGTCTTACTTCCATCTGTTGGTCAGTTAGATATCAAGAGCTTGAAATCGACTCACTGCCTATAGAGCTGTGGAAATACATACCAAATATCCATTATGCTAACAATGAAAGCATTGCAAAAGCCAAAAAAGTAGTTGTTCTTGTTGCAACTAGAGATATCAAAGATGAAGAACTTTTTTCTACTTATATTGATGTGAGTTAATGTATAACCCCAGTTATTTTGTGTATAATAATAACAATAGAGATCCAAGATTCCTTTTGTTTTTGGATGTCAAAGCAAACAGACTTTTTATGCAATTATAATTAAGTGGTTATTAAGTTAGATTATTAATATTGAAATGTGTGTAATTTTTTTCATTAATCTATAAGTTGAGTCACAACAATAAGTCCTCTAGTCACAACACATTGCAATGTAATAGTCACAAAATAAAGGAGGGATAAATTGATGAATTGAATACAGAGAAAAGGAAAGCTCCTTCTAATAGTATATCAAAGAAGATGAGGCACAATATTTCATGTTCAACAATGCCACCGCCATGCATTATGCTCACTGCTGTGTCCGATTATTATAATCTACACTTTATCTACTATTTAACATCCATTATTTGCATGAGAACTCATCAGCATTTATTAATTTGACCAGTATTGACATATGAGTTTTTAGTATGGAACTTTATTGCAAACTACTACAGAGGCTAACTATGATAAATAAGTACAAGTATATTGTATTTAATTGAAAGACGTAAACTCATAAATAATCCGCAAATTATAAGTTTACTTCAAGAGAGGCTTGAGTCACTAAGTCATAGTCATAGACAATAAACGATATTAATATTGTAATTGACTTCATTATATTAAAATAATCACTTGTTGTCTTCATACCTGCAGCTGAATCCAAATCATAATCATGGCTATTTCTTGATTTAGGTAAATTTCCAGTAGGTAAGAGTTTACTAGAGTATTTAATTACTTTCTCGAGATGTGATAATGGTCTTACATCATTATGATAAATGGTATTCCATGCATTGTTGTCAGAATTATCCCCACGCACCTCTTCAAAAAGGTTGCCCATATAATCCTCAAGTCTCTGTGAATCTGGACGCTTATCAGGATCAGCATCACAACACCACTCAGCAATCTTTTTATATTCTTCTGGTGCTGAATCAGGCATCATTGGCCGTTTTCCACCCATAATATCACATACTAAGTCCCTATTGAATTCTCTATCTCTGAAAGGTGGTTCACCAGTGGCCATCAAATACATAATAATACCAAAAGAATATATGTCTGATTTCTGAGTAAATTTGCAAGTATTAAAAACTTCTGGTGCAATAAAGGGTAAAATGCCTTGAATGGTTGGATTTTGTCTACATAAATTCACTGATTGAGAAAGACCAAGATCACATATGAATGAATTTATAAGAAAGTCTTTTTCCATTGCATGCTCTTGATATTCATAATAACAGTGCAAGAGAATGTTTCCACTATGAAGATCACAGTGCACTAGACCCTCATGATGAAGTTGTCTGAGATCATGTGCAATCCCCTGCAAACGATGTAATTTCAGCTTCCATGTCAATCTGTTAATATTTTGACCCAAATAAGACAAAAGACTACCATTGTTAGCATATTGCATAACAATCATGTAATCTTTTGTTTCTGGCTCTTGTGTGGCTCCATAAATGGAAAGAAAACCATGCGAACACCTGGCATGATTTCTGATCTATTAAAAAAATAATACAGAGTCACATCAAATATCATTTAAATTATAATAATATCAAAGTTTGCTTACCTCAGAAATAAATAATGCTGGCATTTCATCAAAATTTTTAAACTGTTTGAGTACAACAGTTTCTGGCATCATACATTCTTTTGCTAAAGACTTTTTATACTTGGCAGTATAAATTGTTCCATAACCACCAACTCCAATTTGTTTAATTTCATCAAAGTCATAATACTGAAAGTACTCAACAAATTTGTTGAGCTGCACAAATCTACTCACTATTGTATGTATTTCATGGTAGAAAACTAAATAATATTCCTGAGTAGATGGCTTTTGAGCAATGCCAATAATCCAAACATTATCTGATGTTAATATCTTCGGGTATTCCTTAGTTAGCTATTTAAGTAAACATCAGTCATTATGAAAACAATCAATTTAACAGTGATGGCATATTTAATAGTATTTGCATTATTTTACATATAAAATAATTTACCTGATGAAAATCAAATAACTGAGCATCCAGTCCATCAATTATCTTTTTGAGGGTCACTTGTATCAATTCATTTGTCCCTGGATATAACCAATCTGCTATATGTGTGCAGCCATGGCGTAATGAGGTCACTTCTTGTACATTTGTTAATAGAGAGTATTCAATCCATTGTATATAAGGATCATATGTTTTCCCCATATTACTCCATGATTCCATAATAAGTGAATTCAAAGACTTGTTGCCTGTAGTCCAATTAGGAGGTGCTGGTGCTTTACATTCAAAACAGAATCCATTTATCCAAGGTTCTAATTGCTTTGTACATGTCAGACATAAACCAGTCTCATCATACTGTTTTACTAGATAATACTTCTGTTCACTTGCTTTATATGTAAATCCAATAGTAACCCAAACATCCATAGCAAGAATATCTGGATGGTCATCACATAACTAGTGGAAATATACATAAGTCAATATTTATCTAAACAATAAATAAACATATTATATTCATATAAATATTTGATAGTCACCTTGTCATAATATGAATCATCTGTCTTGTCTGTTATTTCAAGCGGTGTCAATGTAACTCTTATATAATCATCAGTAATAGAATCGAAGTATCCATATCCACATCTCTCATCATAAATACAATCAAATGGAATCCATTCCAAATAGGCTTGATTTGCTGAATTTGTTTGTAATTGGGATTTCTTAATAAATTCATCGAGTTGCTTATTCTTGCTCCATCCATCGGATAATTGTTTATACCCGCAAATACACCACACGGGACTACATCGGAGTATTCCACATGCAGTGCAGAAGCCATATTGAGAATAACAGTAGTAAAAGAGGTTATTGGCAACCATGTAATAGTTGTTTTTATACTTGGTGAATCCTTGTATGTGACGGTTGCGACGATTAAGCCAAATGAAATATCTTCTAAAGTTGTCGCTATTATTATTGTACTTGTGTGTTGGAAGTGAGTATATTCTAGCAAACGCACTCACTAGCGTCGGTGTGCATTCTTTGCTTTTTCCAAGGAGTACCAGTATTGTCTTGTTATAGTGATAAGTAGCATAATAGACGTTGTTAAATTGAGTTGGCTTTATGTCGTCGATTTCCTTGTAAGGAATCCGTGCATATTCGCATGATTTAATTAAGTCGTCAATTGCTGAACTATTAACAGCCCCCATCGTTTGAATCAAAAATTTTTTCAAGGAGAAAATTCTCAACTTATTGTGTTGCATTGCACATTGATCAATTAGATAATGGGGAGTTGCAAGCGGAGCAGATTCTGTGCCACGCTGCAGATCGCCACAATCATCACAAGCGCCACCACAAATTTGGGTATCATGTGATATCAGATCACAAAGTTTCATTATTTGAACCCCTTTATCTGTTAATTCAGGCTGGGCTTTATTATAATATCAATTTTGAAACTTGAATACGAGTTGACTCTTATGATATTAACTGACTAGTGCGCTATTTGTATTTTTACTTACGACAGGATAAGACATCAGGGGATGTTAGAACGATGGACATGTTTCAGAAGAACACTTTGAATATTATTACAAAGGCATCCATCAATGTCATGACAAAAGGGATGGGATGAGTGAAGTGTGGTTTCAGAACAACTATAAATTAGATAGCTAAGTAGTGATATTCTGGCAACGAAAAACTTTCAACAAAGTCATAGTGACAGACACATAAACGATCAATAAATCACAATCTTGTTTTATTTCTGACTTTGTTTCAACAATGATAATATCGCTCCTAACGAACCGATTAAACTTTCTATCGAAGAATTATCCCCATTCACCTCTTCAAAAGATTGCCCATATAATCCTCAAGTCTCTGTGAATCTGGACGCTTATCAGGCACAACACCACTCAGCAATCTTTTTATATTCCTCTGGTGCTGAATTGGGCATCATTGGCCGTTTTCCACCCATAATATCACATACTAGCTAGTCCCTATTGAATTCTCTATCTCTGAAAGGTGGTTCACCAGTGGCCATCAAATACATAATAATACTAAAAGAATATATGTCTGGTTTCTGAGTAAATTTGCATGTATTAAAAACTTCTGGTGCAATAAAGGGTAAAATGTCTTGAATGGTTGGATTTTGTCTACATAAATTCACTGATTGAGAAAGACCAAGATCGCATATAAATGAATTTATAAGAAAGTCTTTTTCCATTGCATACTCTTGATATTCATAATAACAGTACAAGAGAATTTTTCCACTATAAAGTCACAGTGCGCTAGACCCTCATACTCATGATGAAGTTGTCTGAGATCATGTGCAATCCCCTGCAAACGATGTAATTTCAGCTTCCATGTCAATCTGTTAATATTTTGACCCAAATAAGACAAAAGACTACCATTGTTAGCATATTGCATAACAATCATGTAATCTTTTGTTTTTCTGGCTCTTGTGTGGCTTCATAAATGGAAAGAAAACCATGCAAACACTTGCCATAATTTCTGATCTATTAAAAAAATAATACAAAGTCACATCAAATATCATTTAAATTATAATAATAATATCAAAGTTTGCTTACCTCAGAAATAAATAATGCACGATCCATCGTGCAAAAAGTATTTTCGTCCCATATGAAAGCTTGGTCACGCAACGACATTATATTATAATAATATGGGAAGTATATTATTTATTATTTAATTAAAATATTAGTTTGTCTCATTTGACTCACCAACAAATCTTCCAAGACTGTTTAACAATCTTATCTGTTTACCTGTGTCTTCTTGCTGCAACAAAAATAAACATACAATTCCTAAGCTCTTACTGGTACTAATAATAGTAATCTCAGTACTATCAAATGGCTTTTTTTTAGCATCTCTGCGGTTTCTCTAATTATCTGAAATATCATATTAACTTGTTAAATCCTACTTTTGGTTGAAACGAAGCTAGACTTAACGAGTTAAACTTTGTTCGAATTGATATTAATATCGGGACTTTGGGATGACGCAT